CCGTTGTGGCAGGACCTGCCTGTCCCTCATAGGCCTCATCAGCCACCAGCGTGCCTGCAGAAGACGTGGATTTCCTTCCTAGATCTTCGTTCGCGAAGCCAAGCCATGATGATGATGACAGTAGGCAAAAAAATCAAAGGACAGTAAGGCAAAAATACCCTTACTTATTATTTGTAAAAACAAATAACAGCTGTAACCTGAGACAAGTAAGAAACATTAAAAAAACCCATTGTAAACTAGGTATTGGGGTTGCCAATATTCTTTCTTTTTTCTTTGTAGTGGTTTTATGCCTTCATTTGGAGATCAGATTTTCTACTATTATCAGTAGTTTGGATCAATTTATTCAGCAGCTGTCTATTGAAAAGGCATTTTGTACTATGCATGACGGGCAATTATTTTTGAATTCATAATTTTTTTTTTGTTTTCTGTTTCTGTATTGATTTAATTTTTTTAAAAAAGTTAGTTTCTCATTCACACACTGATATACCTACATAGTATCTGTTTCTCCCTTACATTGTCTCTCTCTGTCACTTTCACCAGAAGCCCTTGAGTTGGGCATATAAACAGAAGTTTAATATAAAATACTTAGCTGTAAACACACAAACTGTAAAAGCATGATCAGTGATTGCAAATATTATTTAAATCCTAGTGCTCCCTCTTGTGGCTTAACTAAGAAGAGAAATGTTAAAAGCCAAACCCTAAGATACATTGTACTCGGGAGCTCAGTTGGAGATTATTGCAGGTGAAAAGGGGCACTAAATCTTGGTATCAGATTCTCATCTTTGGTATCAGTCTCATTCTATCCAGGTTAACAGGCCTTCCCTTTGAGCCACTAGCCTCCTGACCCTTTCACTTTTTTCTGCTACGGTTAACTTTTTGATTACGTCATCCAGGCAAGTGTCTGAACTCCATGCCCTGACATTGGGATGCCCGTATACAGTCTTCAAGTTACAGTTTAGACCTCACCTGGCTTTCCTGCCCAAGGTGGTGTAAGCTTTTCACATGGGTCAGGATATCTTCTTTCCAGTCTTCTACCCTAAGCCCTATAAGACCAATTAAGAAAGATGCCTTCAAGCGCTGTACATCAGATGGGCACTTATTTTTTCCTTGAGAGAGCAAAGCCCTTTCATAAATCCCCACAGCTCTTCATGGCCTACACTGATCATATGAAGGGACTTCCAGTCTCTTCTTAGAGGATTTCCAAGTGGATCATCTCTAGCTGCTTCCATTGGTGAGGGTACATCTTACCAGGGCTCAAGTCTCATCGATGGCATTTCTGGCCCATGTCTCTATTCAGGATATCTACTGAGTGGCAACGTGGTCTTCAGTGCACATGTTCACGTCCCATTATACCATTATACAACAAGCCAGGGATGATGAGGTGTTCAGCAGAGCTGTGTTGCTGCCTGCATATCCTTAAATGCCTATCCTCCTCTACAGATACTGGTTGCAGTCACCTATGTTGAATGGACATGAGCAAGCACTCAAAGAAGAAAAGACAGTTACCTGTTTCTGGAACTGGTGTTTGAGATGTGTTGATCATGTCCATTCAACCTCCCACCCTCCTCCCCTCTGTCAGAGTTTCCTAGAAGAAGGAACTGAGGAGGGAGAGGCTTGGCAGCACCCTATATGATGGCACAGCATGTGTGCACCACTCCAAAGCATGCTGGAGCTGGTCCCCTATGGATACTGCTGGGGGAGTCCATTTCAAACACCTTTGTTGAATGAACATGAAGAACACATCTTTAAGAATACCAGTTATGGAAAGAGATTACTGTCTTTTACTAAAAAAATCTATTCATTGCAGTTGAAGGCTTTTTCTGATTCTTGCCTTTTAGACTGAGCTAAGTAAGTACAATTTATAAAAGTCTTAAGTTATCCAGTAGTGTGTACAAAAAGAAGCGTATCTGATCCTGGTATGGTAATATTTAATTTAATAGTCTTAGATTTCTCAATCTTTAACAAATGGTATGGTCCTTTTAGTGAGGAATTCAGTCCTTAAACCTTGAATCATCAGGAGATTCACCCTTCTCATGAGTGAGAGGAATAGCAGGTCTCAGCTCACTATCTTATATTGCAGGAGAGGAAAATCTGCCCACAACCTTCCACCTAAAATAGGGACCCGTTCCCTTTTTAAATATTTTATTACTTGCCATGGTACTGTTTTGTGAGGAGTGGGGAAGTTTGGATGTGTCCCAACTTTGGAAGTTGGATCGTGAAAAGTGGGGCTATTTGTCCCTCTTCCTTTCCTTTCCCATTTTTTTATGAACTTGCTTAAATCATTCCCATACTAGTAGGCTGCACCCTATGTTCACCAGCTCCTTCCCCGGGGGCTTTCACTTTCGCAGCCTGAAAGCGTGTGAGCATGTTGACGTTGGCTTGAGAGCATGATGACATCATTCTGTCACCCAGCAGGAAAATCTTTTATGTATATATAGAGAGATTGTTAGTCTTTCAATAATACATTGGTGCATGCAAGTTATATGACCAGGACTCAAATGATATCTGATTGAGAGTTTGTCTCTTACTATGGCATATTTTCTATTTAATAAATATATATTGCCATAATTTGTATCTCAGTAACTAATAGGAATATGAGATATAATGATGTCATAACAGTGTCATATTAAAATGATAACAGTGCCAAATATTATTAAAGGAAGATGTGGGTTCATATTATTACTGTTTTATTGCATTTGTATCACTATAGCACCTAGGAGCCCTAGGCAATGACCTCATTGTGCTAGGCAATAAACAAATACATAACAAGCAACAAACAACAACAAGAAAACCAAAGGATGATCTTTACCTCAATACGTTTACAATTTAACTATAAGACAAGAGACAACAGGTGGATAAAGAGAGATGTTTGAGGACAATGAAGCAATATTGAGCATGATAGCAAGTTGTCTCAGCATATGTATTTGTATCTTTGTCAAAGAGCAATTTAACTTCCTTGGTGTTAAATAGATTTTATTATCTATAATGGATGTAATTAAACTTACACTTTGCAAAACATCAATGCAAGTCTTCATCCTAGTTCATTGTGGGTGCATCTACATGGCACCGTTATTTCGAGATAACGAGTGTTGAAATAACAATGCGAGTATCTACACAGCTATTCCATTATTTCAAAATAATGGATGGCTTACTCTGAAATCTGTAAACCTCATTCTACAAGGAATAATGCCTATTACAAAATAGCTATTTTGAAATAAGGCACATGTGAATGCTCCACTTCTGCTTTCGAAATAGCCCTCACCAGGGCCATTCTAAATTATTCCCTCCCAGTGCCTCCTGGGGCTCTAAATCGAGAGAACACGTCTACATTAGGTTTCCCTGCAGTCTAGACTTGTTATTTCGAAATAAGCTATTTTGGAATAACTATTCCAGAATAGCTTATTTCAAAATAGGCATGCAGTGTAGGTGTACCCTGTATGATATAGTAACTGCACTGAACATATTGATCCAATACTCATAAAGAAATTAGTTTTTAAATATTCCAAATTTAATTGAAATGGAAAAAGATTAAGTTGCTATCTCCAGCATTTATCAGGTATCTGAATTAACAATCTGATACCGAGGGTGTGTCTAGAGTACAGGGTCTTTTCGAGAAAAGTAGCCTGTGTCTAGCCTGCAGCCACATTCTTTCGAAAGTAAATTGAAAGAACGCGGCAGTTTTTTTGATCATGATAAACCTCATTTTATGAGGAATAACGCCTTTTTTGGAAAGTACTCTTTCAAAAAAAGGCACTGTTGAATGCAAACTATACATTTTCAAAAGAGCGTCTAGACTCTCTTTAGAAAAAGTGGCTCGCTTTTTTGAAAAATCTGCTTGTAGTCTAGATGCTGTCTTTCGAAAGAGGCTTTTTAGAAAGATTCTTTCGAAAGAAGCTTGTAGCCTAGACATAGCCTTAGTATTAGATAGGATACTGAGTCTTCTAAATGTGTAGATCTTTCTGGAAAAATGCAATTAATTACATATTGATGAATGCTTCTGTCGTGATCATGAGGGTTAGCCAGCAGCCTGGGGACTAAGGGGTTACCTATGTTCCTTACCTAGCCAGGTGGAGTGGCCAGTAGGAATGTAGGTAGGAATTTCAAACTGGGACAAAGGAATTTTTGGTTTTTCCCTCCTTTGTTCTGGCAGCTCTCTCCAGCTATTGAGTGGGACAGACACTATGTCTCCCTCCAAGAAAAGACTCTTTCTTCACTTTCTGTAAGAAGGTAAAGTTTAGATAAATCCTTTTCATTGTTTTATGGTTTGGGTATGGGATCTGCTGTCTGTGCATTTTTTTAAAAATGTTTTGGCTTCCCTTTGTAACTAAGTTCTAGGCCCATGGAGTTTCTCCATGATTATATTATTTTGTTACTTTTCCAACTAATCGTTTTGCTTGCAACAGGAATAGTGTGGTGATAATAAAAGTTTTCTCTTTTCCTTTTATTAACCTGGAATTGATTAATGGTGGTGCCCTGCTTTTTACTTTAGGGGTGAGATTTTCCCAAATGGTCTCTCCCCTGGTTTCTTTATTAATTTGGGTGATGGCAGCAGAGATTGTATCCCTAAAATCTAGGGTTTTAAGATTTTTGGGGGAAGTTTTATACTAAAGCCTGGTAGATAAGGTTTTGGGGTACACTTGCTGGCTCCCACTTCTGCATTTATCTTGCCATAGTGGGGAAGGAGCCATGACAGCTTCCTACTTGAGAACACCCAGGTATCTCATTCCTTCTTTGTGTGTCACCATTTGTATTTATAATGGAAGCAGTTAACACTCTTGTTTGCTGAATTTGGGTACATAAAATATGGATAGTTGATCTGAACACCCTCATACTCATTGGAACTCTAGCTAACCTTCCTAATATGGCCATGAGGTCTGGCCTTCATTCTTCATACAATCAGGGTTTTAATCAAAGTTAACATAAGAGGTAAGGTATTGTACTATTCTAAACTGGTGGCATTGTTTATTTATTTTCCCCCCACATGGCTTCTTTGTCTTTAGGTAAACAAGATATGTGGTCATCCTCTGAGAAAGCCGACGCTGTCCCCAGTTTGGTCTCCAGATCAGAACAAAGATAGTCAAGGGATGAAGATGTCTACAAGAGACAGTGAAGAAACACTGACCAACAGAAGAAAGTAAGACATTAGTTTTACAGCCAGAAAGAAAGAAGAAAGTAAGCCATTAATTTTACAACAGAATAGACTATATTCAATACAATGAAATGCATTAGCATAGAATAAGGGGCTGAAAAGAATGCAGTTTTACATTTCAATGGTACTTTATGCTCTATTAGATTTGTAAAATGTAGTCATTTTACAAAAACTAGATTTTTGTTTCCTGAAATAATGGATAAATGAGCAGGGACATTTCCCGTGGCTTGAAATATTTAGAAGAATTGACAATGCTGCTAAAACATCATCTGTATCCTTGTGTGTACAAGCGTGCACATATGCGCGAGAGAGCATGTATAATATACTTAATGGGCCTAACAATGTGGATTACCAAATGTGTCAAAAAAGTGTTTGTCCCTTTTATCAGTAGACAATTTGTATGATGAGGCGAGAGCTGAATTGATCACAAATAAGAGAATGAAATGGTTTGTTCTCACATATTTTCTAGCATGATAAATGTAATGACTGAGCATTTAGAGCTAAATCCAGAAGTCCTTAGGCTAAAATTCTATTTATGATGATGGGGCTTTTTGCCTATGCAAGGCTAAGTTAAAACAAAGTAGAAACTTCAGAATTTGACCCTTAATCATGACTAGTTATTATTATTCCCCTTCCTTATGAATGGAGTAAAAGAACTACTAGGTGAAGACATTACAGATGTGGGGAATGCTATAGCACTGCCAGATTTTTTCACCCCACACTTGGGTCCCAGATGCCAGCCCATGTCTGTCTCAGGGGTCTTGGCTTTGATGTCTCCTTGGATCCCAGCTGCCAGGGGCTCTACTGGCATCTGTGGTCCCAGCAGCTCTGCTGCAGGCCCCGGGGCACTGAGAATTGGACCAGGCTCTGCAGCCACCCTTGTCTGTGTCTCCAGCCTGGAGCAGTGAGGGATATGGACAGGGTAAGGAGAGGAGGAGGTGCAGCTCAGCACTTCCACACTAAAAATTGTTCTTGTGGCATTGTCCTACCTTAGCACCTAGTGGCCACAGTCAAGATATCATAGGAAGAGCCCCATTGTGTGTGGTATTATACAAAGACATGCACAAAAACTCCAACAGTTTCTGCCCTAAAGAGCTCACCATCTGTACACATAGGTAGGTAGGTAGATAAATGGACAGACTCTACTGTTGGCTGGGTTGTTTTGTTTGTTGAAAAGAAGGAAAGTCTAAGGAGTCTAGGGAATAAGGCTTTAAGTAACAGGATCTCAAACTTAAGGGCCACAGGCCATCTATGTCCAGATCATTTTCACAATCTGGCCCAGGATTCCCTATGTCCCAGGAGTCATGTCCATATCCATCCCCATTCCTTTCTGCCACTTCCCTGCCCTCTTCCCTCCATTGTACTTCTTCCCCAATTCCTGCTTCTGCCCCACACCAGCTGCTGTTTCTCCCCACCTCGGTAATCCTTGGGGCTGCGACCCTTGCAGGAGGAGGTGGAAGAGGTGGGGCAGTGATGGGAAGGGGCAGGGCTTAGGGGATGTGAGTGAACTTCTCTCCCAGGCAGCTGGGTCTCCCAGGCTGGATGGCAAAAATGGTCTTGCCACACATAGCCCGCCACACCCATGTTAAGAGGACATCCGGCTAACTAAAATCATGCTGGGCCACTGATCTTGCCAGGCCAGAGAATGCTGGACTAGAAAGGTGCAACCTGTATGTCTTGCTAGCATGTGCTCTGTTCTTAAAGGGAGAGTGCATGTGCCTAGCACTGGCATGCGTATGTATGTATGTAGATATAGATATATAAATGCCTGCTGAAACCATAGGTGAATATTTTACTTTGCCATCTTTTTCCTTTTCACCTCTGTTTACCCTGAGGAAGGGAGCTGGAGCCAGTAGCAAGGATTATTTCCATTTTTGATTCATGGAGAGGAGAAGGCACTTACAGGCTTAGCTATTAGGCCAAGCTGGTATCACCCTCAAAGTGTTTTGGGTAGTGACAGGAGAATTGCTAGCACTGTATTCTGTGTGAGAGAAAGAGAGGCGGAGAAACTAGCTGCTTCAGCTAGCATAGGATCCTCTCTGGCACCATCTGCTGCTTTTTGCAGGACATTGATTAGGATGCTGCTTGCAATCTGTTCTCTCTTACTTTGTGGCTGTGTCTACATTGGCATCCCTTTCCGGAAAAGGGATGCTAATGAGACACTTCAGAATTGCAAATTCGCGGGGGATTTAAATATTCCTTTCAAGTAGGAATAAGGGATCCTCCGGAAAAGGGCTTATTTTCCGGAGAATCACGTCTAGACTGGTGCTTCTCTCCGTCAAAAACCCCGAGCCAGAAAAAAGCAGCAGCCATGTAAATGCAAATGCCGCAGGGGATATTTAAATCCCCCATGGATTTGCAATTCCGAAGTGTCTCATTAGCATCCCTTTTCCGGAAAGGGATGCCAATGTAGACACAGCCTGTGTGTCTGGCAAGGTGTAAAATCCCTGGTTGTTTCCCCTAACAGTGACCCAAGGAGATACTACACTGTATTCCTTGGAATCTCATTTAAGCAAGTGCCAGTTAATTGAGTAAGACTTACTGGTAGGGTTGCTAGGTGTCCGGTTTTGAACCGGACAGTCCGGTATTTGAGCTTTCTGTCCGGGAAACAAATTGAGAAAATACTGGACATATAAATGTCTGGTATTTTCTAATTAAGTGAGTTTTATTATTATCATGAGTATCAGTATGTAGTTGTGTACTGCCTGGCTGGTAGACACGCTCACACTGCGTGAGCATGTTTACCAGCCAGGCAGTATGCAACTGCACAGTAGAGAAGAGGCGGGGGGGGTGGAGGCAGGGCAGGGGGG